TGGTCTCCATGGATGATGATACTGCATATAGGGATGAGGTCCTCAGACTAACTGAGTGGTGCTCCCTCCATAATCTACAGCTAAACGTCTCTGAAACTGAGGAGTTAGTAGTGGACTTTTGTTGGAAGGGGAGAGTGTCTCAGCCCCTGTCCATCCAAGGGGTGGAGGTGGAACGGGTGGACAACTTCATGTTTTTATGTACCACTTTCTCCTCCTCACTCAAGTGGGGGGACAATTTGAGTTGCATTTCCTTCGTCAATTGAGGAAATCTGGGGTGGCCTGTAGGGGCTGTTGCAGTTCTATCAAGCCTTCCTGCTCTGAACTATCGTTATTTTATCGGCCATTAAAAATCTACCACTGCTCAACCTCTGGTCAGGACTTCACTGATGACTGTCACAGATTCACGTGTAGACATTTTCCTCTCTGTGAGGTTTGGTCTGTAAAATAACAGACACATGTCTGATGCATGATCCTGGAGCCTGAAGTAACAGCATCACATCTTCTTTATTTAAATATCACATTTACTAGAGACACTGAATGAATGTTACACACACTGAACAGTTGCATGTCTCCACCTGCTGGTGGGCCGTCACCATCACAGTCTGTGTGTATAATATGATGTTAATTCATCTACAGAAGAGACTTAATGATCATCACTGACATGAGGACGGAAAATGACTCGTTATACATCAGCATCAAATCCAATACGGTGCATCTCTAACATTTATTATCATGTCGGACAGAGAAATGTCTTGTCATTCCAAACTGAAGCCATGAACTGATCATTAATGTAGGTAATGATTACTTTACTAAACATGAATAATGGCTGCAGCTCCTCACCGTGGATATGACCCGCGTTAAGAACAGTTTGATGACTCCAACTGAAGATTAATAATGTTTGGATTGATAAGGTTCATACTGTCTTCTTATTTAGGATATTTTAAGGTTTTCTTATATTCAGACAGACAGGATGTGAGGAGATGTGACAAGAACGCGAATGCGAAAGAATGCGAAAAAGAGACAGCAGGGCAATTCACAAGGACAGGAAAAGACAAAGCAGAACAGGAAAACCTAAAATCAGCCATCACAGATCACTGCAGGAGAAATAACCACATCATGGACTGGGACAGGAGCAAAATAATCACACCAGAGACCAATAAATTCAAACGGTGGATAAAAGAAGCCACAGAGATCAGCAAGCGGCACAATCAGCCGGGACGAGGGGGCGTACACCCTCTCACATACCTGGGATTCCCTCCTCCAGAGAACGAACAACGACACGGGAGGCGGGGTTGGCCTGACGCACTCGATTGGTCTGTCAGGCCCACCAGCTGATATATGACACGTCAGCAGCACGTCAGATGACGTTTCTGAGGAAGACTGGAGTCACAGTCGAAAGTGTCAGGCAGGTAAAACACATCATCACATCCTGTCTGTCTGAATATAAGAAAACCTTAAAATATTAATGTTTCCTGTCTTCAATCACGTTCTCCTTTTCCATCAACTTGGAACCGGTTCTGTTCTGGTTCCTGCTCCTGATGATGAACCGTCCAGAGCACCTCCACCAAAAATAAACTGGTTCAGGACCTGAGGACTTGGTTCTCAGCTGGAACCAAAAAGCAGTGAACAGCGATGACATCGAGTCAGAAGGACAAAGAGCGCGCAGTGTTCTCGTCAACAGCTGGTCCATGTTTGGTTTTTGGCAGAGGTGGGAGCAAGTCACACGTGTGCAAATTATAAACAAGTCTCAACTCATAACATTCAAGTCCCAAGTCACTGTTGTGGAAATCAATCAAGTTGAGTCGAGTCATACTTACAAACTCGTAAAGATAATAAACTGCAGCCAGTGGTGGAATGTAACTCAACACATTCTCCTCTCAGGTCACCGTCTACCTTGACTTGTACTTTGACAGCTTTAGTTACTCGTTACTCAACTAATTAAGACTTGACACTCGCAACACCTGAAACTGTTCAAGTCCATCTGGAACTACGAGTCAGTTATTGAACTGACAGAAAATAACCGTGCCTCTATTTTAATAATTCATCCATTCATCTTCATCCTCTTATCTGAGGTCAGGTCTCGGGGGGCCGAGAGGGGGCCGATCAAAGTCCTCCAGACGTCCCTCTCCAGCTCCTCCTGGAGGACCCCGAGGTGTTCCCAGACCAGATGAGATCTATAATCCCTCCAGTGTGTTCTGGGTCTGCCCCGGGGCCTCCTACCAGCTGGACCAGGAGGATCCTGATCAGATGTTGAAACACCTCAACATGAAGGAGCAGTCTACTCCGAGCTCCCTCCAGATGTCTGACTCCTCCTCCTCATCATCTCTAAGGCTGAGCCCAGACACCCTAGCTGATTTTTTTCCTGCTTTTGCTTTTTATTATTTTTTTGTTGAAGTGTGAACAGTTGGTCGGACAAAACAAACATGATGGAGGTGTCAGTTTGGGCTCTGGGTCAGTGTGTCTCACTGTTTCCAGAGCAGTGAAAGAGGAGCACAGAGCAGTGAAAGAGGAGCACAGAGCTGTGAAAGAGGAGCACAGAGCAGTGAAAGAGGAGCACAGAGCTGTGGAGGAGGAGCACAGAGCTGTGAAAGAGGAGCACAGAGGAGCACAGAGCTGTGAAGGAGGAGCACAGAGCTGTGAAAGAGGAGCACAGAGCTGTGGAGGAGGAGCACAGAGCTGTGGAGGAGGAGCACAGAGCTGTGAAAGAGGAGCACAGAGCAGCACAGAGCTGTGAAGGAGGAGCACAGAGCTGTGAAAGAGGAGCACAGAGCTGTGGAGGAGGAGCACAGAGCTGTGGAGGAGGAGCACAGAGCTGTGAAAGAGGAGCACAGAGCAGTGAAAGAGGAGCACAGAGCTGTGGAGGAGGAGCACAGAGCTGTGAAAGAGGAGCACAGAGGAGCACAGAGCTGTGAAGGAGGAGCACAGAGCTGTGAAAGAGGAGCACAGAGCTGTGGAGGAGGAGCACAGAGCTGTGGAGGAGGAGCACAGAGCTGTGAAAGAGGAGCACAGAGCAGTGAAAGAGGAGCACAGAGCTGTGGAGGAGGAGCACAGAGGAGCACAGAGCTGTGAAGGAGGAGCACAGAGCTGTGAAAGAGGAGCACAGAGCTGTGGAGGAGGAGCACAGAGCTGTGGAGGAGGAGCACAGAGCTGTGAAAGAGGAGCACAGAGCTGTGGAGGAGCACAGAGCTGTGAAAGAGGAGCACAGAGCTGTGAAAGAGGAGCACAGAGCTGTGGAGGAGGAGCACAGAGCTGTGAAAGAGGAGCACAGAGCTGTGGAGGAGCACAGAGCTGTGGAGGAGGAGCACAGAGCTGTGAAAGAGGAGCACAGAGCTGTGGAGGAGGAGCACAGAGCTGTGGAAGAGGAGCACAGAGCTGTGGAGGAGCACAGAGCTGTGGAGGAGGAGCACAGAGCTGTGAAAGAGGAGCACAGAGCTGTGGAGGAGGAGCACAGAGCTGTGAAAGAGGAGCACAGAGCTGTGGAGGAGGACAGAGCTGTGGAGGAGGAGCACAGAGCTGTGAAAGAGGAGCACAGAGCTGTGGAGGAGGACAGAGCTGTGGAGGAGCACAGAGCTGTGAAAGAGGAGCACAGAGCTGTGAAAGAGGAGCACAGAGCTGTGGAGGAGGAGCACAGAGCTGTGAAAGAGGAGCACAGAGCTGTGGAGGAGCACAGAGCTGTGGAGGAGGAGCACAGAGCTGTGAAAGAGGAGCACAGAGCTGTGGAGGAGGAGCACAGAGCTGTGAAAGAGGAGCACAGAGCTGTGGAGGAGCACAGAGCTGTGGAGGAGGAGCACAGAGCTGTGAAAGAGGAGCACAGAGCTGTGGAGGAGGACAGAGCTGTGGAGGAGCACAGAGCTGTGAAAGAGGAGCACAGAGCTGTGAAAGAGGAGCACAGAGCTGTGGAGGAGGAGCACAGAGCTGTGAAAGAGGAGCACAGAGCTGTGGAGGAGCACAGAGCTGTGGAGGAGGAGCACAGAGCTGTGAAAGAGGAGCACAGAGCTGTGGAGGAGGACAGAGCTGTGGAGGAGCACAGAGCTGTGAAAGAGGAGCACAGAGCTGTGAAAGAGGAGCACAGAGCTGTGGAGGAGGAGCACAGAGCTGTGAAAGAGGAGCACAGAGCTGTGGAGGAGGACAGAGCTGTGGAGGAGGAGCACAGAGCTGTGAAAGAGGAGCACAGAGCTGTGGAGGAGCACAGAGCTGTGGAGGAGGAGCACAGAGCTGTGAAAGAGGAGCACAGAGCTGTGGAGGAGGAGCACAGAGCTGTGAAAGAGGAGCACAGAGCTGTGGAGGAGCACAGAGCTGTGGAGGAGGAGCACAGAGCTGTGAAAGAGGAGCACAGAGCTGTGGAGGAGCACAGAGCTGTGGAGGAGCACAGAGCTGTGAAGGAGGAGCACGGAGCTGTGGAGGAGGAGCACAGAGCTGTGAAGGAGGAGCACAGAGCTGTGAAGGAGGAACACAGAGCTGTGAAAGAGGAGCACAGAGCTGTGAAGGAGCACAGAGCTGTGAAGGAGGAGCACAGAGCTGTGAAGGAGGAGCACAGAGCTGTGAAGGAGGAGCACAGAGCTGTGAAGGAGGAGCACAGAGCTGTGAAGGAGGAGCACAGAGCTGTGAAGGAGGAGCACAGAGCTGTGAAGGAGGAGCACAGAGCTGTGAAGGAGGAGCACAGAGCTGTGAAGGAGGAGCACAGAGCTGTGAAGGAGGAGCACAGAGCTGTGAAGGAGGAGCACAGAGCTGTGAAGGAGGAGCACAGAGCTGTGAAGGAGGAGCACAGAGCTGTGAAGGAGGAGCACAGAGCTGTGAAGGAGGAGCACAGAGCTGTGAAGGAGGAGCACAGAGCTGTGGAGGAGGAGCACAGAGCTGTGGAGGAGGAGCACAGAGCTGTGAAGGAGGAGCACAGAGCTGTGAAGGAGGAGCACAGAGCTGTGAAAGAGGAGCACAGAGCTGTGGAGGAGGAGCACAGAGCTGTGAAAGAGGAGCACAGAGCTGTGGAGGAGCACAGAGCTGTGAAGGAGGAGCACAGAGCTGTGAAAGAGGAGCACAGAGCTGTGGAGGAGGAGCACAGAGCTGTGGTGGTGTGAGTACAAATGTAAGCCGGTGGGTCCTCCCCAGCTGCGAACATCTTAATGTAAAAACAAAACTTCTCAACATCTAGAAAAATATAAATATTGAATTAAAAAAAGTCAAATAATTTCAAGTCGTCTGTCTCAAGTCAAAATCAAGTCTTGGTTACAGAGTCAAAGTTAAGTCAAGTCTTTCATCAGTGTTAGTCAAGCAAGTCTCAAGTCCTCAAGTCACGTGACTCATGTCCTCCCACCTCCTGAAATAATAAAACCTAATATCTGTAATAACAGAACAAAAGCTCAGAGTTCAGCAGTGCAGTCGGTCACTTCGCTGCGCGGCGCCCTGCGTTCACGACTCGTCCTGAGCAGAGGCGGAGGAAGGAGGAGTGAGAGGAGACAGTTTGGAGATCAGAGTCACAGTGTGACACGTGAACAGTGTGGAGGTCTGTCAGCAGGAGGCGCTGCAGCTCTCAGCTGTACTTCAGTTTCCCTGCAGGTACTGAACAGAGAAGAGCTCCAGCTGAGTCTCCAGCTCCGTCGCTCTGTTCCTGAAAACACACACAGAACTCAGTCAGTCTCCACCTCTTCACTCTGACTCACTCAGCAGCGTGGCGGCCCTCTAAATTCAATTCAGCTTCATTTATAAAGCCCAGAATCATAAATCACAACAAGCCTCAGAGGGTCTCACGGCATACGATGTCCCTCTGTCCTCAGACCGTCACAGCTGAGGAGGAACAAGAACAGGATCTTGTTCCTCATGTCGTACTTTAACTGTAACTGTGCTGCGCCACATTCAGGGGTCGTGTCCACTGAGGAGTTTCTTCCTGAGACCAACGTATTTTGTTGATTGATAGTAAATCAGTTGCTGCACCGAACACGAGTCTGAACTGCTTCATCTTTAATTTATCTTCATCAGAAACGTTACAAACACGTTTCACCCGCGGGGTCGTGGCTTCTGTTTTGAGACAAGCAAACAAATTTCCACTGAGATGGAAAATAAAGTTTATCTGTTCATCTATGTATCTACATATAGTCTATATATAGTATATATCTATATATATATACTATACATATATACAAGTCTGTGTATATCATTTAAAGGTGCAGTGTGTCAGATTTAGAGGGATTTTGTAGCATCTATCAGTGAAGAGCTGAAACTTCTCCTGCTCAGAATTCCCTCAGTGTTCAGGAGCTGAATGATCCACAGAGAACAAACACACCAGCTGATTTACACCAGGAAACAGGTTCAGGTTATAAATCTGTGTTTATCTGACGCTGCTCATCGTGGAGGAGCTACTAACTACGGTGTCCGACATGAAAACCAGTGTTTGGTTGGTCTGCCTGGCAGCTGACAGGAAGTAAACAGGGACCTAAGCTGTTGTCCTAGCAACAGAAGAGCAGGATCTGTCCAACAGAAGCTTCAGCTTTTATTCTTCAAGCTGCTATAAAGGAACAGTTTCCTGTTGGGATTAAAACATTAGTGGATCTAAGATCTGCTGGTGTACCTGCAGCCTCTCAAAGACCCCGCCCCCCTCAGTGACAGTGTGACCTCTGACCTGAAGGCCTTGGACCTCCTCTGGATGTTCTCAAGTCTCTGGATCCTGAAGCTCAGCTGACGGATGTTTCCCTCCAGTTCAGCTTCACTGAGGTCCACTCTCTGCGTCAGACGGCTGAAGGTGGACGACAGCTCCCTCAAACACAAACGTGACAGATGAGTCAGAGCTAACGTCAGGCGTTCAACACGTCAGGTGAGTCAGAGCTAACATTAGGCGTTCAACACGTCAGGTGTGTTCAAGCTAACATCAGTTGTCGGCTCAGGCGTGACTGTGTGTCAGGAGTGGGGTGCGGTCTTACTTATACACCTGCTGGCTGCAGGCGGAGCTGGTGACGGGGATGACAGCCCTCAGGCGGTGGGCGGTGTGCTCCACAAACTGCCGCTTCAGAGCGCGCTCTCTGCTGGCGTCGGTCCAGGTGAGTTTCTCGTACAGGTAGAGGAGACCGTACAGAGACAGTGACAGAGCGATGACACGCCAGCCCACCGAACGCCACACCTGCAGCACACAGACACAGACACACACACACACACACACACACTTGACACCTGAGAGGCTTTAAAGGAGCAGACCGCTGAGGTACAGGATCAACCAACAACACAAATATGATTTTATTTGATTTTTTATCTTCGACACTATTTTATGTCTCACGTTCTGTTTTTAAACTTTGTTCTTATTTTTCATACACATTTAACGAGCTGTGGGAGGAGCCTGAGACCAAACGACTGCTCCTCTCTAACTGTTGTGACAACAACTCGTTAAATCAGAACCAAAACAAAAAAAATTAAACGAAAAAATAAAATTTATTTTCCTAATTTAAATAATAATGTTTGAAATAACAAATAAAGAAATTATAAATGCACGACTTCAAATGACGTTTTACAAACTAAACAATCAAGACGTACCACTCCTCCGATGATCAGCACCGTCATGGACGCCCGGGAGGTGACGGAGACCAGACCTGTCGCTATGGAAACCACCATCTCATCCTTAAAGTTGGCGCCTTCCTGTAGCGAGGGATAATGAGTTTTCACAGTTACAGGATTAAAACTGTGTCACATACATGTGTGTGTGTGACGCACGTATGTTTTCACTCTTTATTTTATTCCTAACAACATTATTATTATTAATTCCATTAATTTATTTCTGTCTCCTCCAGGAACATTCCTCTGGTCACAGTTAGGAACATAAGACACACTCACACTCATGTACGACAGCCCTGCTAACAGAAACACTGATCATATCATGATGTGTGTTTTATGTCTTGTGTTCACGTCAGTGTATTTCGTTATATTTATTTATGATCTGTTTGTACCGTCACACTGAGAGGAGAAAAAAATGTATTAAGGGGACGTCCTCAGGAGGACATGTTGTGACCGTCCTATAGTTTGACACTTATAGGACCTGTATGAATCAGAGACACTAAATGCAAAAGTGACGATGATGTCACATTAACTGGATCACTGGACGTCAGTGAGTCATCAAAATTATATCACAGTAACTTTCTCCACTGGAACAGAGTAATCCTTTCAAAACAAACAAACAAACAAACAGCAGCTGATCTATAAGAACACTAAAAGTCAAATTTCTTTTCATTCATTTGATTTCCAATCATTAACGTGGACTTCAGAACTGTTTGTAAATGCAAAATAACTTTAAACATGTCATTAAAACACTGATTCGTCTCAATTATTTATTGAAATTCAGTAAATAATTATGATTTTAAGAAATGACAGTTTCACAGCCCTGTAAAGAAACACAAGCTCAGTGTCGCTGTCACGGAGGACGTGTTTCCTTATGAAAAACTAACTGTGGAGTCTTACTGACACCTACTGGTCAAAGTGTGTATTGTGCTGAATGGACAGCATGAACCTGTCAGCTGCCGGGACCTGCTGGACACAGACAGAGCCAGCATGTTAAAGGACTGAAACATCTCTTGAACTGTTGGTCAGAAGGCACACGATGTGACTGTGATTTATTTTGTCCTGATATTTAGTGGAGGTTTGTGGATTTATTCTGTGCTGACAAAATGCTGGTGTCTGAATTGTTCACGTGGTGTGAGGGTTTCAGGGTGTGTGCTGGACAATAAATACTGGTCAAACATCAGGTGGGGTGTGGCCTGTCTGTACCAGAGGAAAACTTTGGGAGCAGTTATAAACAGCTGCCATTTCAGAACTAAAAGATGTGGTGAGGACACCTGCAGTCGCGGGTCGGAGCCGCTCAGTGCTCGCTTGGCGTTGGTGGCTCCGATGAAGCGGGTGACGAGGGCGGTCCAGCCCAGAGAAAACTGGAACTCAATGTTTTCACGAAAATCTGCACAGAGGGCGACGAGGCCGAGGTCGTACGTCAGGTCGAAGGACGTGGAGGGAGCGGAGAGCTGATCGTGGACAGGCAGAGACAGCAGAGGACGGACGCTGTCTGAGGACAGAGGACAGAGGATCACGTCACACGTTTGTGACCAGCAGTGAACCAACACGTGAAGAGACGACGTACCGATCATGAATCTCTGAGCGTCTCTGATGTCTTTGAGGATGTTGACGGAGCAGCGGTGAGACAAACTGCCGACCATCCTCTCCTCCACGTGCTGCAGCAGCTTCTGAGGACACGAGACAAAAACACTCACTGAAAGACATCAACTCCCATCATCAGCGTTATTTCTCTGTGTTTTGTGTCTGAGGTGAAAACTTGTTTCCTGTTGTTTAGTTGCAGAGAGAATAAAGTCAAGTCAGACGTGAACTCAGTTTCCTTTGTTTATAATGTGTTATATGTGATGACGCTGCTTCAGGTGTCTCGTATCATTCTGACTGATAAAATCAGACGTAGTGTTGTTGACAGGAGCGGATCATGTTGACCTTTGACCCTGTGATAACACTCACCTGTCACCTGTCAGTCAAAACACACATTCAGTTTTGGTACTGTGTTTCCTCAGCCCTGAGCTGTGTCTGCAGGAGCTTGGGACAGTCTGTCTAAGAGGCAAAACCCAGGGCACAGAAAAATGTGCACATGGTGTGTGTGTGTGTGTGTGTGTGTGTGTGTGTGTGTGTGTGTGTGTCACTAATGAAACACACACTGTTTGTGCTGTAAACTGGATTGGAAGTAAATCAGCTTTAATGTGTCGTCAGTTCCTCTGAAACAACATTTAGATTAAGACTGTGTGTGTGTGTGTGTGTGTGTGTGTGTGTGTGTGTGCTTAACTTGGCTTCACACTGACAGATAAAGTGAACTTTGAACCTTGTACCTGTACACAGGTGGAGTACCTGAGTGCTGCAGTACTCACAGTCTTGTAGAGCTCCAGAGTTTCCTGTGTGGGGTTGAAGTCGGCTCTGAACTCCTCCACCAGAACAGGAAGTGAGCGGATCTGGTCGGACAGCGCCGTGGCCACCTGACAAACATCAACCCGCTGTTACTGTCCGTCGTCACATCTACGCCCATTTCTAAATGAAAAAGATGCTGAAACATTGATTCATGTCTTTATTTCAAACCGTCTCGACTGTGACAAACTTTTTACTGAGAGACTTGAGCTGAGTGAAACTCTGCAGCTATGAAGCAGAACCAAGAGGAGAGAGCACATCAGGCCAGTCTGAGCTGCTCTGCACTGACTTCCTGTTACATTTAGGATTGGTTTTAAGCTCCTCCCCCTTGTATACAAAGCCCTCCATGGGCTGGGGCCGAGCTACATCACTAACTCCCTTGGTAACTATCTGTCTCCAACAACACTGCGATCATCTGCTGCTGGTTTATTGGGAGAAGATCAGGGACGCAGCCGCTGTCAGAGAACACGTGACCTACAGACATGAGAGAAGCTGCTCCCTGAATATTTCTCAAAGAAAGCTAAAAACAAATCTACTGTAAAACTTAAAGGCCCAGTCCCTTTTAGCAGCCTGCTGTGGCTACACTGTGAGGCAAATAAAGGCCTGTCTGTAATATAGATCGATTTGTCAGTGAACCTTGTGAGCTGTAATGAGCTGAGAGCAGAGACTTGTTGTCTTCACCACAGAGGTGTTTTCATGTGGTTCATGCTGCAGCATGTTGGTCGGCCAGTTTACACGCTGATCGCTGCTCCTCTCGTTAACGTTTGCCTCTGGGTGAAGGCGTCAGTAAGTATTCAAAGTGTACTTCCTGTTCACCTCACAGATGGAATTACTGAGACATGAAATTAAAACAAGCTGCAGCTGCCGTCTTTGTGGAGACCTAGTACCTGTTAACTTTAGCTCATCGGCACTGTAGACTGTCAGGGTGCTACGCTGACCTCACAGTTGAGCTCCGCCTCTTTTGTTCCATCAGCATGATGTTATAAACAAACATGTACATAATCAATTATTGACATTTGTGAATTGATCCTCCACAAAAACCTCCCCCAGGTTTATTTGAGCTGTAAACCCTGTTTAACATCGATGACTACACTGAACAACAACTTAAACACAACACGTCAGATTTTCACAGGTTAAAGATCTGAGACTTTTTATTCTCTCAGTGCAGATTTTCTCTCAGACTCTGAGACAACCCATCCAGCTGACAGGTGTGTGATTAAACACAGGTGTGTCTGAGGATGGTCACAGTAACAGGACCGAGGGTCGGTCCCACCTGACACTTAAAAATCTTGAATCAGTTTCTAAGCACGCAGGTGTGATGAAGCTAAAGACTCTTCTGTCAGAGTCGTGACTCAGCAACAGTCTGAATTCACTCAGGACAGGTGTGTTTGCTGAAGCGTGAGCGCAGTGATCAGCAGGTGGATCTCTTTACCTTGGCAGTGACATCATCAGTCAGAGTCTTGATCCTCTCTTTGACGTTGTCGGTCAGACGGTTAATCTGTCCTCGGACAAAGTCCAGCCGGTCCCTCTGCTCCTCGCGCTCCTCCAGGCAGCAGATCCTGTCAGAGGTCAGAGGTCAGACGCTCCAGAAAAAAAGACTCTATCTAAATATATAATGTTAAACAGGAAGTGAGTTTTCCTGACTTCCTGTCCGCAGAGGCAATGTTGATGGCGTCCATCACAGCTTTGATGGCCTCAGTGATCTGCCAAGCTCTCACTGTGTGCTGCTCAAACTTGGTCTTCACTGCAGACTGAGAGATGAACTCCTGCAGGATCAGACGTGGTTTGAAACCGTCTCAGGTTCACGGCACTGATCTGATGTGGACCATCAAACTAAATGTTTGTACCTCAAACGTCCTCTCGAACATCTGGAACTCTCTCAGCCTGTCCTGGAAACCTTCAGCCAGAGCGCCACCTGCAGGAAGACACACGTCTGGCGGGTCATTATCTACTGTAGATGTCAAACTTAAACACCATGACTGCTACACTGCTCTGAACTTAAACACCTGACTATGTGGAGCAGTTCTCAATCTACATCACGGTTACATCACAGTTACATCACAGTTACATCACAGCAGTGGAGTGTGCATACTGATGGCAGAGAAACAGCGGACATCAGAGAGACACAGTGACGTACCTGGAATAAAAATGTCTTGTTGTGTCGTTGGAAGTCAGAACAGGAACACAGGTTAAGATAAGAAACTCACATGTGTCAGACATGGACTTGTCTTATTGTCCCTGGCTAATATTTATGGAGACATCCACATATATTATCATTTAATGTGGAGGTAACAGACGACTTTGTAGCTAGCTAGCTAACACTGCCTGTTCATGAACTCCTGGATCAGAACAGAATATAGAAACTTTGAGCACTGCTCATTTTAGAAAGGACGCCACAAGAAAACATGTTCTTTGTTTAGATTATTAAACAGATGATGGATCATCGTTTGTTTCTACCTGTCAGCGTTCAGCTATAGGTAGCACGCTAGCTACGTTAGCTACATGGCTAACATTAGCGAGCCTTTCATTTTCCTTGCCTGGATGCAGATGAGCTAAACACACATTATAGTCTCTACGTTAACAAAAACTGAGAACAGGTTTTCTCGTGGTGTCCTTAATAAAGTGAGCAGTGGTGACAGCTAATATACTTTGTTATGATCCAGGTGTTAATCAGCACACAGCGTTAGCAACCTAGCTAGCGCGCTAGCACGTTGGTAAGTTGTACTAAATGATATTCTATGTGGACGTCTCCACAAATATTAACCAGGGACAATAAGACAAGTCCATGTTTGACAAACCTGAGTTTTTACATTTCTCACTGTCAGAAAGTGCCAGTTCATGTTCCCTCCTCTCCACTAGGAGGAGGCACCCAGTGGTGGCTCAGGGTATCAGTGGTACCTCCCACTCTATAAATAGAGGCCTAAAGATCACTCAGTTTGTCAGGTGTTTGTCAGGTGTCTTTTGGTTTGACCTCCAATGTAAGTAGTTTCTTTATATTCCTTTAATTATAGTGTCTCTGACATGAAGAATGGATAATTTATTTGATCTAATTCGTTAAATAATGTTAAGAATCATGTGTTTGGGAATCATTATTGGAGAGATTTGTGGTCCTTTAATATTCAACATGCTTCAAAGAGTGAATTCATTTGTTTGTCAAGATAATGTAATCTGTTCTTTCTTTGTTTAGAACCATGGTAATCATCCTGCAACATCACAGAACCAACATTCACCCTGTGATTTAAAATAAATTGGATGACTGATTGATTGCAATCCTGTTTCCTGGTGGTTTGTGGCTCCAGTCAGAACTTCCATTCACTACACTCACGATGAATTATGTTTCATCATGTAAATAATTAAGTCATTTAAATAATCCAGACACACACTCCTGTACTGAGCGTCCAGCAGCCATTACAGCCTCAATATACACATTAGAATTCACCAAAGACTAAACTTGATTTTCTGCTACACGTAGATCATAAACTCATGGATATGAAAACGTTATGTTCTCTCCAGTTAGGCTCCGCCCACAAAATACGTCATCACTGTGTACAGACATAAAGAGAGTCTATATAAGATATTTTAAATCTTTGCACAGGTTACGACCCACAGTCGATGCTGAGTCCGATTTAAGGCCTCCCCTTATCGATTCATCTGATAGCGACTCGTACTCAGGTGTGTATGTCAGAGTGAAGTCATCTGTGGACACTTTGACACATCTGTCGCCCTCCTGTGTCTGTGTGATGAGGAGGCTCCTCCCCCTGCTGTCCCTCACCTGTCTCACCTGTCTCAGGCATGCCCTGCGCTCGCTGCATCCTGGAGTTCAGGACCTCTTTGGCCGAGACGAAGAAGATCCTCCCCGGAGCCTCGTCCAGACCGACCACCTTCAGCTCCTCCGCCAGGAAACTCACACAGCGGTCCAGGTGCTGCTTCCTCACCTGGACAGCAGGGGGACACAGTGGGTACAACTCAGTTAGCTAACTGGTACACCTCAGTCAGCTTAACTGGGTACACCTCAGTCAGCTTAACTGGTACACCTCAGTCCCCTAAACTGGGCACACCTCAGTCACATCGTTTATTACAAGAGCACTTATGTATTTTAGCAGTCTACAGTAGTTCAGACCAGATTTCAAAATACTGACTAGGGATGTCACGATACCAAAAATTCAGTAGTCGGTGCCGATACCATTAAGATTCTCAATACCAAAGTCGATTCCATGGTAAAAAAACGAACAACCTAAGATCCCATGTACTTAAACAAGAAATACTTCATTAAAATATTTGCATATAAAATAACATTTCTATCAACAGATTGATATTACTTATATTTTTTCTTTTCCTCTTTATCTATTTTTCGTTGTAAAAAACACTGATCAATATCTGCAATAAACCAAATATTTACTATTTAAATCACGCTGACAGCATTTGAGCCGACCACAAGAATGTGTGGAGTTTTGTTGGTTTCATTTATTGTTTGTCCTGTCCCGGTACAAACAGCGTTTTTTGACATCCGTGGTCCAGTTGTGGGAAAAACAAACGTCCCAGTACAATAAATCAAACGCACCCCAACCACTGTGTTTCAGAAGTAGACGCGCATGCGCAGTCACGTACTGCTGAGAGTGAAGTCCCTGATCGTTAGCTCACACGCAGCTGGATCAAGCTGTTCTCTGTGTACAAACAGACAAAGTTTAAAACTGCATATATTGCTAGCAGATCTATTTTCTGGCCTAAAGTGCGGCCGTGGCTGGTTCTGAATGTGAGCTTTAGCAGGCAGCCGCTCTCTCCTCTTCCTCGTCACCCCCTCGCTCTGAATGTAGGCATGGACTGTAACCCTATATGGCGTATACTGCCCCCATCAGTTCCGGAGGAGTCATAGCACCGATTCATACGTTGGTATCGGTTCTTCTGGTTCTTCAAAAAAATGAGTATCGCTGGGTTCTTTTCACCAAGGAATCGAAAGGTACTGCGAGTATCAGTTCTCATACTGACACATATACAGTGTATTGCTATACATATATTCATTAGTCATCTCGCCCAGCCCTACCAGTTCCCTTCAACTTGGTTCGTCTCTCTCAGTTTGTTTTTTCTCCTCATATCTCAGAGGAAAGAAGTGAGGAAAGATGATGTGATGTCACAGGTGTAAACTGAAGCGCACACACACACACACACACACACACACACACACACACTGACCTCCTCGATGTATTCTGGTTCACTCACTGAGGCGTCCCATCTGTTGTGGAGAATGAAGATATTTGGTTTGGAGATTCTCTCACTGACTTTGTGGAAGAAAAGTTTCTCCTGCGGACACACAGAGACAAACAAGATCAACACACACACACACACACGCACACACACACACGTACACACAATCCTCTCACCGTGTTCATGAGCGTCGACTCAGCATTTCCCACCAGAACAAAGACGTCAGCGTCCAAACAGAACTTATCGATCCAGCTGTCCAACTCCAAAGTGACATCAGTACCAGGGCTGAGGTCAGAGGTCAGGCGTCAGAGGCAGAAATTAATATTATTAATTATTCCTGTGCTGACATTTTGACTTCTTGTTTTTATTTGTATTCAGGTGCAGTTTGTTTCTGATGAGTTCAAAACTCGGAGCGGAAATTTTCCTGGATGAATTCTGATTCTCTGAAATGTTTCCACGATGACCAAACTGACAAACTCAAACAGAATAAAATAATGTGTCCTCTGATCGAGTGACGCTTAACACACAGAACTGCTCCTGTCAACACGTTTCAGCCCAAACATCATAAATCATCTTCACAGTCTGGTCGATATGAAACGTACCGTGTGTCAGATTATAATCTGTAGGTTATGATTTATTTTACATCACATTAAACTAAATACTGTCTGTTTTTCCAGGTGTCACAGTGAAGAGGCAGATTAAAGGGTTAAATCAGATCTGGGCTGGAGGTGTGAACAGGAAGTCACCTGTCCATCAGCACCAGGTCGTCTCTCAGCAGAGCGCAGCGACTTTTAGGCCACATGACCTTCACCAGGCTGCCGGAGTCCAGAGTGGGATCCATGTGGAGGGCATGAGCCAGCTGGTTCACCGTCTGAGGAGGAGGAGGGAGGAGGATGAAGGTTATGACAGAGTCATGTGACTGACAGACAGAGTAACGCTGACAGTTAAAGGGACAGTGTCTCATGTTCTTGTGCTCATTTAATCTTCAGCACTATGGAGCTTCGTAGCTAACGTTATTTTTACAATAATTTTTAAAACTGTATTTACAAATCTGCTTCCGTCCAACATGATGAAACATTGGGTCGAACGCAGGCGAAAACGTGTCTGAAACTCTGTGGCTCTGTGGTTTTTTAGATTTTACACCAAACGTCAGAAATAAAAAGTTTCGTAAAATAATTCTTCTGTCTGAGCATCTTTAAGACTTCTGTAGGATTGATTTAAGACATTTTGATACAGATTAAAGTCTTATTTTTAGATCAATAAGCTCAAAGCCTTTTAAGGATCCATGGGAACGATGCTAAGCGCTAGTTATTTACCACATGGATATAGCATTTATGCTAGCTGTGTTATTTTAGCATTGCACTATATTTGGTTTAATATCCTTCATGTTTTTAGACATTCTCTAACTTGACAACATTTTACATCGGTCCAAGTGTACTTCCTGTTGGAATGGAGCTGACAGGAAGTAAACAGAGACCAAAGCTGTTGCCCTGGCAACCAGAGAGCATTATATGCATCTATAAATACGTAGGTCTAATATGAGTAGGTGCCATTTTCTTAATTACTTACAAACACTACAAGGAAACGGGACAGGAGTCATTTTTCCAGGACCGGGACGGGACAGGAGTCACTCTTCCAGGATTGGGAGGGGACAGGAGTCATTTTTTCCAGGATCGGGATGGGACAGGAGTCACTCTTCCAGGATTGGGAGGGGACAGGAGTCATTTTTTCCAGGATCGGGATGGGACAGGAGTCACTCTTCCAGGATTGGGACGGGACAGGAGTCATTTTTCCAGGATCAGGAGGGGACAGGAGTCACTCTTCTAGGATCGGGACAGGACAGGAGTCACTCTTCCAAGATTGGGATGGGACAGGAGTCATTTTTCCAGGATCAGGAGGGGACAGGAGTCATTTTTCCAGGATCGGGAGGGGACAGGAGTCATTTTTCCAGGATCAGGACAGGACAGGAGTCACTCTTCCAAGATTGGGATGGGACAGGAGTCACTCTTCCAAGATTGGGATGGGACAGGAGTCATTTTTCCAGGATCAGGACAGGACAGGAGTCACTCTTCCAAGATTGGGATGGGACAGGAGTCACTCTTCCAAGATTGGGATGGGACAGGAGTCACTCTTCTAGGATTGGGATGGGACAGGAGTCACTCTTCCAGGATTAGGAGGGGACAGGAGTCACTCTTCTAGGATTGGGATGGGACAGGAGTCACTCTTCCAGGATTAGGAGGGGACAGGAGTCACTCTTCCAGGATTGGGATGGGACAGGAGTCACTCTTCCAGGATTGGGAGGGGACAGGAGTCACTCTTCCAGGATTGGGATGGGACAGGAGTCACTCTTCCAGGATTGGGAGGGGACAGGAGTCACTCTTCTAGGATTGGGATGGGACAGGAGTCACTCTTCCAGGATTAGGAGGGGACAGGAGTCACTCTTCTAGGATTGGGATGGGACAGGAGTCACTCTTCCAGGATTAGGAGGGGACAGGAGTCACTCTTCTAGGATTGGGATGGGACAGGAGTCACTCTTCCAGGATTAGGAGGGGACAGGAGTCACTCTTCTAGGATTGGGATGGGACAGGAGTCACTCTTCCAGGATTAGGAGGGGACAGGAGTCACTCTTCCAGGATTGGGATGGGACAGGAGTCACTCTTCCAGGATTGGGATGGGACAGGAGTCACTCTTCCAGGATTGGGATGGGACAGGAGTCACTCTTCCAGGATTGGGATGGGACAGGAGTCACTCTTCCAGGATTGGGATGGGACAGGAGTCACTCTTCCAGGATTGGGATGGGACAGGAGTCACTCTTCCAGGATTGGGATGGGACAGGAGTCACTCTTCCAGGATTGGGATGGGACAGGAGTCACTCTTCCAGGATTGGGATGGGACAGGAGTCACTCTTCCAGGATTGGGATGGGACAGGAGTCACTCTTCCAGGATTAGGAGGGGACAGGAGTCACTCTTCCAAGATTGGGATGGGACAGGAGTCACTCTTCCAGGATTGGGATGGGACAGGAGTCACTCTTCCAGGATTGGGATGGGACAGGAGTCACTCTTCCAGGATTGGGATGGGACAGGAGTCACTCTTCCAGGATTGGGATGGGACAGGAGTCACTCTTCCAGGATTGGGATGGGACAGGAGTCACTCTTCCAGGATTGGGATGGGACAGGAGTCACTCTTCCAGGATTGGGAGGGGACAGGAGTCACTCTTCTAGGATTGGGATGGGACAGGAGTCACTCTTCCAGGATTAGGAGGGGACAGGAGTCACTCTTCTAGGATTGGGATGGGACAGGAGTCACTCTTCCAGGATTAGGAGGGGACAGGAGTCACTCTTCCAGGATTGGGATGGGACAGGAGTCACTCTTCCAGGATTGGGATGGGACAGGAGTCACTCTTCCAGGATTGGGATGGGACAGGAGTCACTCTTCCAGGATTGGGATGGGACAGGAGTCACTCTTCCAGGATTGGGATGGGACAGGAGTCACTCTTCCAGGATTGGGATGGGACAGGAGTCACTCTTCCAGGATTGGGATGGGACAGGAGTCACTCTTCCAGGATTGGGATGGGACAGGAGTCACTCTTCCAGGATTGGGATGGGACAGGAGTCACTCTTCCAGGATTGGGATGGGACAGGAGTCACTCTTCCAGGATTGGGATGGGACAGGAGTCACTCTTCCAGGATTGGGATGGGACAGGAGTCACTCTTCCAGGATTGGGATGGGACAGGAGTCACTCTTCCAGGATTGGGATGGGACAGGAGTCACTCTTCCAGGATTAGGAGGGGACAGGAGTCACTCTTCTAGGATTGGGATGGGACAGGAGTCACTCTTCCAGGATTAGGAGGGGACAGGAGTCACTCTTCCAAGATTGGGATGGGACAGGAGTCACTCTTCTAGGATTGGGATGGGACAGGAGTCACTCTTCCAGGATTGGGAGGGGACAGGAGTCACTCTTCTAGGATTGGGATGGGACAGGAGTCACTCTTCCAGGATTAGGAGGGGACAGGAGTCACTCTTCTAGGATTGGGATGGGACAGGAGTCACTCTTCCAGGATTAGGAGGGGACAGGAGTCACTCTTCTAGGATTGGGATGGGACAGGAGTCACTCTTCCAGGATTAGGAGGGGACAGGAGTCACTCTTCTAGGATTGGGATGGGACAGGAGTCACTCTTCCAGGATTAGGAGGGGACAGGAGTCACTCTTCCAGGATTGGGATGGGACAGGAGTCACTCTTCCAGGATTGGGATGGGACAGGAGTCACTCTTCCAGGATTGGGAGGGGACAGGAGTCACTCTTCTAGGATTGGGATGGGACAGGAGTCACTCTTCCAGGATTAGGAGGGGACAGGAGTCACTCTTCTAGGATTGGGATGGGACAGGAGTCACTCTTCCAGGATTAGGAGGGGACAGGAGTCACTCTTCTAGGATTGGGATGGGACAGGAGTCACTCTTCCAGGATTAGGAGGGGACAGGAGTCACTCTTCTAGGATTGGGATGGGACAGGAGTCACTCTTCCAGGATTAGGAGGGGACAGGAGTCACTCTTCTAGGATTGGGATGGGACAGGAGTCACTCTTCCAGGATTAGGAGGGGACAGGAGTCACTCTTCTAGGATTGGGATGGGACAGGAGTCACTCTTCCAGGATTGGGAGGGGACAGGAGTCACTCTTCTAGGATTGGGATGGGACAGGAGTCACTCTTCCAGGATTGGGAGGGGACAGGAGTCACTCTTCTAGGATTGGGATGGGACAGGAGTCACTCTTCCAGGATTGGGAGGGGACAGGAGTCACTCTTCTAGGATTAGGAGGGGACAGGAGTCACTCTTCTAGGATTGGGACGTGGAAATCCACTCCTGTGTCCCCCTCTAGTTCCAACATTTGGTACTGTCCCTTTAAGGTCTCTGTGTTGCACGTACGCTGACGCTCCTCCTCTCATTGGACGCCTCGGTGGTGAGGTAAGCCTCGTCTCCGTCAGTTCCCTCGACCCTCAGGAAACAGTTGGTGGTGTGACCGATGCCGCTGGGCAACACTCGGTCTCTGAGCATGGCGTTGATCACTGTACTCTTCCCGTTACTCGTCCTGAAGCACAGACGCACATCGATAGCATCAGCATCCACAGAGACATTATTGTACATACAGCAGAGAGCAGAGTTGAAGGAAGTCCCTCAAGGCATTCTTGATATGTTGCGTTCACGAAAATGGGACAAATGGACAAACCAAAAACATAATTCCTGTGGGCACTTCTATCACCAGCGTGGAAACATAAAAATAAAATATTAGTCCCACCTTCATTTTTATGCCTCTGCGCCAGGCAACAGCTGTGGCCACAGGCATTATCCGTCCCATTCTTGTGAATACAATAAATATCAGCACTGGTGGTTGTAACCTAAATGGCGCCATGGGCTCTATTTTCTATAGGCTATAGCGCCAGATCACAACAGAAGTCATGTAAGGTTACCTTTCCCATATACAGGTCTATACTTTGTCCTTTTATTAAACAAACTAAACAGCCTTATGTTATTTATCTTATTTACACCATGGCATGTCATTTCTGTCTCTACATGGTTGCGCCTTTACAAATCTCTGCTCTCTGTATCTCTGAGTTCCACCCCAATGCGCACAAACTGTGAGGGCCTGTCAGTTAACCGGCAACCCTAACCAGTCAATCAGACCGGCTCCACTTTGTCCAATTCTTGTGGTTGAGCAGCCATTTGAACATTTGATTATTGACTGTGTAGGGCCGTTGCCTCGTTCAAAAGTGGGTCTTAATTATTTGATGACTGTCACATGCCAAGTAACCAGGTATCCGGCCGCGTGTCCACTCCGAACCATAACTATTAACTCGGTGGTAAAAGCTTTGACACAGTTCATTTCGGTGTTTGGGATACCAAAAATCATTCAGAGCGATCAAGGCTCATATTTCATCTCCCGTATGTTCACAGAAATTCTCCAGCAGCTTTACATTAAGCACAGTAAAGCTTCGCCTTATCATGCACAATCACAAGGCGCCCTAGAGCGTTTTTATCAACACTGAAATCTTTACTGCGCTCTTACTGTACTGAGCTGGGGTGTGACTGGGAGGAGGGGTTAACATGGCTCCTGTTGGCAGCCAGAGAAGTGGTTCAGGAGAGCACAGGTTTTAGCCCCAATTATTTGGTGTTTGGTCATAAGGCACGGGGTCCCATGGCTGTTTTGAGAGATAGTTGGGAGATAACAGAACCTCCCCAGAATCTGTTTGACTATGTCAATGGGTTCAGGCGTAGGCTGTTTTTGGAAGTTGAAAGTGCAAAGGAGAAGTTGGTAAAATCGCAGCACAAAATGAAAACTCTCTATGACAGGCGTGCAGAGCCTAAGCAGTTTAAGGCTGGTGACCAGGTTTTGTTCCTACAACCTACTGTGACTTCTCCCGTTGAGGCAAAGTTCTCAGGCCCTCACACGGTGGTACGACAGGTGTCAGACCTGAATTACATCATTGCCACTACAAACTCTAAGAAAGTCGCTAGATTGTGTCATGTGAATTTGCTGAAACCCTTTTATGTACGTCAGACAGAGGGAAAAAGGGAAAGTGGGAGTTGTATGGTTAATGCTTCTGCTTGTACGTCTGAAGTTGATTTGAGCTCATCTCCAGCAGTCAGCCTGGAGGAGAGTTCGACTCCTGATGGGGTTTTGCAAGGGCGGTTGAAAAATTCAGTCACTACAAAATTTGGATTGCATGTTGGCAAATCTGGATGACAAGAAACGTGCTGAGTTGATTGCCCTTATTAAAAGCTATCCTGCCCTGTTTTCTGATGTGCCTTCTCGCTCGCATCTTATTGAGCATGATGTGGATGTCGGTGACGCGGCACCAATAAAGCAGCACTTTTATCGGGTTTCATCAGATAAGCACAAACATTTAGACCAAGAGGTTCAATATATGTTGGACAATCATATTGCTGAGCCGTGTTCTTTGAGTTGGGCATCACCGTGTCTGTTGGTCGGTAAACCGGACAGAACTTATAGACCATGTACTGACTCTCGTAAAGTTAATAACATTACAAAGCCAGATGTGTTTCCTCTTCCCCGCATGGAAGATTGTATAGATCAGGTGGGGTCACTTATGTGAGTAAATTTGACCTCCTAAAAGGTTATTGGCAGGTCCCCCTGTCTAAGCGTGCACAGGAAATTTGTGCGTTTATTACACCTTCTGGTCTGTACAAGTACACTGTTACGCCCTTTGGCCTGCACAACGCGCCTGCAACATTCCAGCGCCTCATGAACCAGGTTGTGGCAGGGCTGGACGGCTGCGATGTGTACCTTGATGACGTGGTCATATACAGTGATACATGGTCTGAACACATTCAGTGCAGTCACCTATTTGGGTAAGGTAGTCGGTCAAGGCCGAGTGCGTATGTTGCAGGATAAGGTGGCTGCAATAGTAAAATATCCCCCTCCAACCACCAAGAAAGAGCTAATGTGCTTTTTAGGGATGGTGGGATATTACCGAAGTTTTTGTAGAAATTTCTCATCTGTTGTGGAGCCACTGATGGCACTTTTGAAAAAAGAGACAGAATTTGTCTGGTCAGACAGATGTAGACTGGCGTTTGAGAATGTCAAGGCACTTTTGTGTGCGGCGCCTGTGTTGGCTGCCCCCCGGCTGGATGAGGTTTTTTCCCTGCAGGTGGATGCCTCTAATGTGGGGGCAGGGGCTGTACTCTTGCAGGCGGGAGAGCACGGGGTTGAAAGACCTGTGGTCCTCTTCTCTAGGAAGTTTAATAAGTACTAGCTCAATTACTGCAGCATTTTGATGTATATTTGGGATCTGGTCTTTCTCCACTGGTTGTTTTGCTCCTAGGGTCCGGGTTGCTGAGAGTGGCGAGTAGAAAAATAATGTGGTGGGACCCCATTCTTTAGGAGGGGGGTGTGACGGCCTGCCCCTCTGTCTGCTCTCTGGCTCTCTCACTTCCTGGGTGGAAGTTGTGGGCAGGTCGTCAGGCCAATTTGCCTCACCTGTGTGTGTATGTGGACCAGGATAATGAAGGGCTGTCTAACCTTGCATTCTCTGTCTTGCTGCTTCCAGACTTGGACTTGGTTCCGGATTTCCACCTGCCATGTGCAACTAAGTATTGTTTCCCCTGCATTCAACACTTTAACCCAGCACACTCCACTCACCCATACACTGCATACATGACTGACACTCAACATTAAATCCCACTCATACTTTTTGGTTTATTTTGATATAATTTCAACTTAAATGATTTACTAATAAATTATATTTTGATTTGGTACTTCATGTGTACTTCCTTTTTGCCACTAACTGGCCCGGTTTGTGACAACACACACACACACACACACACACACACAGACAGGTGCGCACTTACAGGTGAGCACACTGGAGCGTAGCTCGGGCCGCATTTTCCTGACCGAACCCGACCCGAGTCCGACGCAGTTTGTTACCTGACATAGTTATTGTTAGGAACAGTGTGTAACACGCTGCTCGCACAGCAGTGCAGCACTGTACACTCACTCAAATGAAGCGGAGCCTGTGTTGCGTTCAGGCGTTGTCATGTAAATAACAAATTCCAGCACGTGAATACACTGTATATCAAGAACTCCTCAGGAGGATTTTTTCAAATTTGGCACAAATTTTCACTTGGACTCAATCAATCAATCAATCAATCAATTTTATTTATAAAGCCCAATATCACAAATCACAATTTGCCTCACAGGGCTTTACAGCATACGACATCCCTCTGTCCTTATGACCCTCACAGCTGATCAGGAAAAACTCAACGATGAACTCATCAAAAGGTCAAGGTCTCTGTGACCTTATCTGTCCAATTCTCATGAATGCGATAGCTGAAGAACACTGTGAGGGAATTTCCCAAATTTGGCACAAATGTCCACTTGGACTGAAGAATAAATTCATTAGAATGTGGTGATTGAAGGTCAAAGGTCAGTGTGACGTCACAAAACATGTTTTTGTCCATAACTGAAGAATTCATTCACTAATTCTGACCAAACTTGATACAAATGTCTCACATGGATGGAGACTGTCAGAGACACTGGACTGGTGGGCGGAGTCATACAACCACAGGGTGGACTGGTGGGCGGAGTCATACAACCACAGGGTGGACTGGTGGGCGCAGTCATACAACCACAGGGTGGACTGGTGGGCAGAGTCATACAACCACAGAGTGGACTGGTGGGCGGAGTCATACAACCACAGAGTGGACTGGTGGGCGGAGTCATACAACCACAGGGTGGACTGGTGGGCGGAGTCATACAACCACAG